CAAATGCAAAAAAATGTGTCCTTTGTGGTAGTTGGTATGTTTTGTTTCGTCTTTATGCTCGACGTTACCCAGAGGCGGAAAGGGGACTAAATAAAGCAGTTTAATTATACCTCTTTTAGAGAACCGTCACCTTCGCAGGATATTGCTCTCATCAGTAGTTGGCGGTTTAACATCTTTGTTCAAAATAACTGATGTGCTGTAGGCTCTCCCTTTGACAGCATATTATAACATATTTATAGCTTTTAACAAACGCTTTTCATTATTGTATCAAAAACAGAAATAATTGCTTAGAATAATAAATCTAATCTTTTCACAAAGGGGGACATTTTCCATTTTGTGTGTTGATAGACTTAGAAGGGCAGAATGCGATTTACGTGTCACGATCATCTTGAAAGTAGTGTGTGTTTTATTAAAATGGATGTAGGTTAATGATTTCTTACTTATGGCTTCTTCGTTGGTTTTATTTCCAGTTTATAAATGAACACGCGTATTTATAAAAAAATAAAAATTTCCTATTTATATTCTAAAAGTATTGAAATATTTAACCTTAATAATTATATTTATATTATAATTATATAATAATAGCTAGCAATTATATTTATGTTATAATATTTTTTTAAACTGTTTATATTGAATTTAAAACAAACAAAAAAGAAAGTTTTTTAAAATTAAAAATACAAAATAACAAGCATTTTATTAATATTTTTAAAAATTATCTTATCTAAAATGATATAATGAAAGGAATAAGATATTTTCATACTGATTAATGCCTTTAAGTTCAAAGAGCTTATCAAAACACTTTTAAAAATAATTTTTAAAAAGTTAAGAATTATAACGCGTTTAAATTCTTGGTTTATCGTTATTGGGCGGTTTTTGTGCTTAGTAGTTGTTTTAAAAATTTACATCTTAAGTATTTTATACCAATGAGACAGTTATTTATGCTACTACGATCATCACTTTTTATTGCAACACTTTCTGTGCCATAAACGAAGGCATTACACTTTTTAAAGAAACACTCTCAGTAAAAAGTTTTAGCTATTAAAATTTCCTTTTTTTTAAGCCTAAAAATAGAGAAAGAGTAATTTTAACTCCCCTGTTACCAAGAGTTTCACCTTAACACTTACATTCCTTTTCTATCTTTATTATTATCTTCTTTTTTGTATTGCTCCCTCCCAACTGTTTTCATTTGTGAAATTATTTTTTTATTAATGAAAAAATTTATTTCACTAGCATCAGATAAAAAGCCTCAATGCCTGTTGAGGAAGCATATTTTAATGAGAAAATTCTTTTTAGTGATGCGAAATGTTTAATATGCCATAAAGATTAGTTATTCGAGATTTGAAAACAAAAAATTTATTTCTTCAAGCTCATACTCAAAACCAGTTCCCGATAACCAATCATATTTCAATTAATTAATAAATGGAACCTCCAAAAAATCATTCCAGGAACTTTGGAATCAATGTATTTCTTTCGTAATTTTGGAGTAAAATTTTTTTTTTACTTAATGTTTAAGTTTTTTAGGAAGGAATTTTTTCTGATCGCTTTTGTTTCGATATCTCCTTATTCATCCGCTTCAGAAAACACCTTTTTTATTACTCTCGATAGCTCTTAATTTAAAAAAATACTGCACCAGAAAATAGTCATCTTTTATCTTCTACTCACTGTACCTCATTTCATCCAGCTTTTTATTCCTTTAGATTAAGTTCTCGGATTAATTTTGGTCTTCTTCAAGTAGCTGTCCACCATTACGATAAATAGCTTTATATTTTTAATTCCTATCACTAGGGGATTGGATTCTTTTTCCACATCTCTTCTTGCTTTCTCATCGAAAATCGCAATTAATGCCATTGCTTTTAAGTAGTGGTTGTGAAAAAAATCTATTGCTGAAGTTAACAATTCCAGTTTACTCTTTCTGGGTAGGAGGACATCAAGATATTTTTGCCTCTACGAATGGAGCAATTATATTTCCGCTCGGTATGTACTCAATTCATTTCAAATTAGAACACTGTGATAAGTCTTTATTTTCAATGATAATTACACTTTTTTATTGTTTCAAGAATTTAGTTGAGCATGAAATAGTTAAGACTTTTTCTGTTTTTTAGTGATAAAGTTAGGACTGAATTCAATCAATACACATTTAATTAAATGAATACATATTAGTTTTTATATAAGTGTAAAAAATAGCTTAGATTAGATACAGTAAACTGACTCGCTTTTATTTAATTTCTTTCAGTAATAAAATAAATAAATTAAATCTATTTTTTTTTAAATTCATAAAATTCGACAATTCTTTTATTTATTCTTATATTAAGCACATGGTAGATGAATTGTAGTTATTCCTGAGACAATAATACCAATAGTATATTTTATTAAAAATTGATGTTTCGTGATATCATCTATACAAAAATAGTCAATTGCAAAAGAATTAAGTTTTTTCCAGAAATTTCTTTAATAATCGTTTAATTCCTTCATTTCCAAATGTTAAGAAACCTTAACTATGAAAAATATCTTTGAAGTTGAAAGCTCGAAAAATATTCGTCATACTGTTAATGTTTTAATACAGTATTTAAATACTTTTTTAACCTTTTATATTTTTAACATTGCATAATAACTAACACTTCATTAGCGAAAAACTCTAGATTATCAATTTTTAAAAGCAAAAGTGAAACTCCATTAAAGATACTAGGGTTTTTCAAGATCAATTCATTAATCTCATATTGTTTTCAGCAAGAAAACAAAAAAATTTTTTTTTAATATTTTACCTTAAATATATTGATCAGAAAGAAGAGTGACAATTTAAAAATAAAGAAATATTATCAAATTATGGTCACTTTCCAAACAGGAATTTTACAGATTCTGTTTTGAATTCAGATTTCTATGTTCTCTTTTCTCCCATAACGTTTAAAGAGATGAAAAAAGTTTACCCAGAGACGTTACTCTCTTTCTGAAGAAAGCAGGGATTGTAAGTATACTCATTCTTCAGTGGCTAAGAACTAATTTTCTCGAGATCTGGAGAAAGTTAATAGAAAGTTCCCATCCCCTGATATACTCGTGAAAATTTTATCAGGCTTACCGCGTTGGTCTTTCAGCAGTAGGTTCAATGTATATGCTCCTGCGTATAAAAAAACCCCCGGATTTCTGGTGTTTTACTCTCACTCGCGTGCTGTCCTTATTGTTCTACATCTGATGCTTACAGAAGGAAAAAAATTTCTTTAAATGTACTAAGCACGTAATCCCCCACTGTATTGGGTTTGCTTTTTCTTCATTAGAAACAGCTTTTTTTTCTCACCTCTATTATTCACCTTGATTTTTTTTATCTGAATATTTCCCCACATGTTGGGAATATTACGTATGCATGGAGAAATATTATAAGCATTTACCAGATAGTATTATTTTTTTCTGGGAATATTATTTCAGACTCTTTTTTCATGTTTTTATTTCAAGATAGAGTTTTTAAAAAATTGTTTCTTGTAATAATTCTGTATTTCGTATAGAAAATATTATAAATGGTAATTTTTTTTACTACTTGGCTTGAACGGCTAACGCCTTGAAGGCATTAGGAATTACTTTATAAAAAAAATGATATATATATTTAAATAAAGGTTATTTAAATAAAACTGAATTGCTTTTCAACAATATCTTCATCGCAATTGGATTGAATTCTAATTACTTTTTATTAGTTTTAAGTTTTAAATTTTTTATTAGCTTTGAGTTTATAAAGTAAATTTTTTGTAATAACTTTGTATTCCGTCAAAACACCATTCACGGCATTATTTAAACAACTTGGACTGAGTGGTTGCCTTGGAGGCTTTAAGAATTTTTTAAAAAGAAGTGCTATAAATACTTAAATAAAGGCTAATTGAATAATACACTGAAAGGAAGGCCCTTGGGCAATAGCATTTGGAAGAAAACATCCTACCATATTCACTCATGATACTCTAGTACTCATGGACTCTAGTACTACCTTCATAACGTTGTGGACTAATTACAACTTACAACAGCTTACCATACGCTGGAAAAAACTAACGTACTTTATTAAATAACATTTACATGATATTTTTGAAAAAAATTAAGGCAATTAGAAATAGAATAATCCATAGACTAAGAATATCCCAAAACTTTTTGCAAGTATTACTCTAAATTATAATAATATCTAAGTGAAATGTATTAAATTAATGTTCGTAAATTTGCTAATTTTTAATTATATCAATTAATTTTACAAGGAATATAAATCAATTCTAAGGATAGTTTTAAATTAGAAATGTTACTTAAATAGATATTTCCAAGATATTTTTACTTTCTTTTGAATGGAAATATATGTAATATATGGTTTATTATATATATGATCTCCCCTTATTAAACATTCAATAAATGGAAATTTTTTTACTTCAAATAATGCAAATCATTTTCTAGTTTATTAATAAAAAAACATGTATATAATTATTCATGACGCCATTTAATTTTTGGTGTTATTAAATAAACTTATAAGTTCATTTATTTTTCTGCAAATGATTGTATAAAGAAATGGTAATAAAATACATTTATATATTCGTATTAAAAATAGACGTAAGAGCACACGATTGATTTCTTTCTCATGTAAATCTGTATCACACATGAATTAATAAAAATACATACAGAAGTTTTATTATTTTTTTTGTAAAAAGTAGATTATCTTCATGAACATTAAAACTGCGGAATTTAAAAAATATATGTTATTTGTTGTTATTTCTTATCCCACTTGGCTGGCCAAGCCCACGAGCCCATACGTGCTCATGATTGAAGGGGAAGGAAGCAGCTTCTGTTGTGATGGAGCACCCATAGGTAGAAGCCTGACTTTTGCTCCGTGACGCTCTTACAGTCATAGGAGACTGGGACCTACAGCTTAAAGTGGATTCCGAACCACTACAAACATCCATGGCACCGCCGGGATTCGAACCCGAAACCTGTGGCACCGAGCGCCAGAGCGCTAGACACTCGGCCATTCAGGTCCCAAATTTGCCAACGGCACGCGGTGTTCCCAGGTGGTCACCCTCCCAAGTACTGACCGCGCCCAATGATGCTTGACTTCGGTGATCTAACGAGAACCGGTATATTCATCATGGTACGGCCGTTGGCTCTAATATATAATAAATATATATAAACGCAAAAGTATAAAATTAAATTCTATGGTACGATTCGATAGAAAATTACATTTTTCAATAAGAATTTTCGGTACAGAGAATTTCTTATAATCACATATTTTCAAAAAAATAAATAAATAAATAAATACTTTGGTTCTTGGAAATATCCACGTGTTTGGTACACAGGGAACAATGAACACTGGTACTTCAAGCTTTCTTTTTCTTGTGGGTGAATAGCGTAACATTTACACAGAGAAAATAACTGAGCACACAATAACTCAAGTCAAACAACTAGAAGCTCAATTTGCAACGCACACCTCTCCAAATCAGCACATACACTGAGTTTCAGATGAGTCACGTTGGAACTGAATTTTCTCAACAGTTTCTTCAGCAACTACCTTATCACAACACGTCAGCGATTTATCCGGAGATAATCAAACATCAAAGAATAATTAAACTTTATTTCGCATCAATGCGCCGACTTCATAATAAGAATCACGCGAAACAGCAGATTCCTGAATGAGTTTCAAAGCTGCTATTAAAGTCTGGATTCGTTCGGCAGCCCAAGTGTCAAGTCAAAGTTCAGTCAGAGTTTATTTACAAGCAATCTTAGGTCTGATAAGCGATGGCTGGTTTATAAAAGAACTGCCGAAGTTGGAAAGTGTCGCTGATCAGAAAGGAGGCGAAATTCCGTGGAATATCAGAGTGTACTGTGTTACGTATTGCCTTGTTTGTTCGAATAGGAATGTGGGTGATAAAATTAATTGGATCCTGCAATTATTTTAGTTGTACCAAATTTAAAAGATTTAGGCGGTTGATTTAGAAGGAAAATCTGGGCGATCTGTTATGGCAATAAAATGAAAACGCTCTTCTGTGATAGTAGGTATTACTAACTTTTTTAGTATATTACAATTGTATGCTATGTAAATTAGCTTTCATCAGTATGTTTAATTTATATCTATATACTTATATTGTTACGTTTATACGTAAACAAGATTGTATAAGGTTTGTGTTGATAAAAAGGAAAATGCAATTATAAATACAATCACCAATTTTCTAAGAGCAATTATAAAAGGTTTTATCTTTTTGAAGAATATATAATTTAATTAGTAATACAAACGTTGAAGAAATGTATCAATAATAAAACCTTTATCATTAATAACTATGTTTACAATTAAAATGAAGATTTATTTGTTTGTTTTAATTTGTTGCATTATGATAGAGGATCAAATATTGCAATTCGAGCTTATATGCCTTTCTAATTTTGTATAATATTCGTAAAATTTAGTTTTACTGTATGATTATATTCTTAGTTATGATTAAAGAACAAAATATCTCAGGAATTCTGTGATCCTTTTAGTAATTTACACTGTTAAATCTATAAGTATCTGAACTTGAAGGGATATGATTCAAACTCCCCAGAGACAACCCTACGTGTTGTTCGCCCCAAAATTTGAGCCACCAAAGCAATATTCTCATTATAAAGGGATCAACGATCTTAGCCAAAAGTGAAGAAATATAAGCATAGTTCCAAACAAATAAAACAAAAATTAAATTTTTCGTCAAATGAATTATGAGACGTAGGCGGAAAATGTAAAATCCAAGCGTGATGCAAATTTATGATTTCCTCTGAGAACACGAATTGAAAACAATTTTGAAAAAAGAAAGCACAGAAACTCTGCTTTAATACATTTTACAATATTCGAAGGCTCAGCAAGTCGTGGACAAGACACCAGGAACTCACATAAAAATATCTGAATGGGAAAAAAGAGAAAGAAAAGAAGGGAATATATATAATTCTACCTCGCTTTAAAAATGCACAGGGAAAAGTTCTCGAAACACGCAAGGCAGAAATCTCAAGCAACGCAAGTATAAAAGTTTTTTTCCCTTTAAAAAATGAAGAATAGAGATTGCGTATTATGCATCAAAATCTTTCTTTGAGTCGATAAAAAACTTCGTTTCGATGTCGAATAACCATACAGAAGCTTCCACGGGGGAAAGAAATAAAAAAAATACAATCTAAAAATAGGAAGCATTTTTTTAGCAAGAAAAGAAATTACGTGCGCTTTAACCTAGGTGTAATCGTGTTTGCTATTCCACATTCGTCTAGGAGATGTTTTGATTTTTCAAGCACCCCTATTGTCGCCAGTAGTAAGAAAAGAATGAAAAAAGGAAAAATAAGAAAGATAAAAACTTGGAAAGCAGAGAATTCAACAAAAAGAAAACTCTTCTTAGACTTACTTCGCTCTATTTTGCAGCTTAGACCTATGCAAAAGCTCAGAAAATGTGTTTAGTGAAGCATTGGAACTTATTTGTTTGCAAATCACATTTTTCCATACATACACGTATATATACATATAAATATATATATACATCTGTATGAGAAAACAAAAGACAGAAATATGTTCTTGGACCTTCAACAAATTCAGGAAATTCTTCCATTTATTGTAGATTTGGAGAGTTGAAAGGCGGAGACTGGTTGTCCAGAGCTCTGAAAGGATGGATGAGTGAAAGGAGAAATAAATAAAAAATGGGAAATAAAATTCTAGGACTCAGTTCATGTTTGCACACTGCATATGAAATGATTACATGGGACAGTTTTTCGTGGAACTTTCCCTTACTTTTCACAAAAATGCCAAGTATATCCTCGCTTGTATTCCCTCTACAAGAAGAAAAGATATCCAAAAATAACAACACCAGGAAAAAGAATATAAAAGAATTTATTTGGATTTTTCAATCTTATTATATCGTGTTATATTTCCTATATTAGAATTTCAACAAAGGACATTTTAATTCTCCCTATTTCGTATTATTTGTCAACTATAGTGAGCGTGGTTACAAAAGTGCTTTAAGTCATAAATCTGCAAAAAATAATAAATAAATCTATAAAAAGTAAATAATGAAATAATTTATTTTACATATTATTTTACACCATTGTAAACTGAAACTTTAGAATGAGTTAGTCGCGCTGACAAGAAGTCAACTCTATCTAAAGATGCCATCAACTTTAATTTTTTAATCTCAAAATGAAAAATATATGACTTCATAATTATTGGAACATGTTATCTATATGTCCTCTATCATGTTATTATGCTATCTGATAACAGAAGATTCAATAAAAAGTTAATGCTTTGCTGTTATTCTTAAATGTATAGTCGTAAAATCTTACATTTGACATTCGATTCAATATGCCACTAACTTTAATTTGCACTTAAAATTTTGTTTAATTTAAAAACAAAATTATTACTGCCGATTCATGAAACGAACAGCAATATCATGTCTGTTTCTGCTTTTAATTTAAGGTACGTGTGTTGCTATATTTTATATCATCATTCTGATTAATGACAATAAAACATATAGTAACAACACTATTCAATCGTTGTTTATTCATTTCAAAATCATTAAAACTTTTTTTTCTTATTTCGGCAACAACAGTTCTTTAAAAAGTTAATTAATATTAATTTATAAACATGGATGAAGTTACTTAATTAATGCACTGTTATAAATTAAAATAATATCACAATGGGTTTATATATCTAACTATTCTTTTTCTTATATATATGAAATTACATTTATAAAATATATTACTCCAATAGTAAATAATATACTTAATTCTATTACATTTATGTATTTAAAGCAGGTTTTAAATGTGGTACTCCAATGAATTATTTATCTATATCAAATAATTTAATCTACACTTCCCGATACCAGCTAAATAGATTTAAAGAATTTAAATAAATGCATAAACTTAAGAAATTATATTTCACAAATTTAAAAAAAAGTGGATTAATATCTGCGCATTAACCGGATTTTTATAAAATTTAACATAACTTAAGCTAACAACAACAACAAAAAAACAGTTTATGTATAAAACTTGAAAGTAATTTAGCAAATGTGCGAGCAAAGACTATTAAAATGGGAGTGATTTCTAAGCAGTGAAATGCGGATATTAAACGCTTTTATCCAAGAAGAAAAAAGCGTTAGTCCTTTTGCAAAAACAAAGAAAGTTAAAAATCTACTTTCAGAGTAAATGCATTATCTTCTAGGGAAGGAAAACGAATTTAAACTAACTTAAAAATTCCCAAAAGTTTCATAAAACGTTTCCAAAACTGAGAAAGTGTGTGCATCCATTTCGAGGGAGTAACATTAGCAAAAGTATATTTCAAAAAACAAGTCATGCTAAGATTAGTAATAAATAGTATTGTTAAATTAAATTTCAAATCAGTCTTTCCAAAGTAATTTTCCAATGCACACTCATTATGATACGACGAATGAAAAAGGACGATTTTTACCACCGCAATCTTTCAGTTTAAAAAGTGGGAAAAAAAGTCAAAAACAATCACGAAACATTTCAGATTTTTTAAGAAATAAATCTTTTTGTTCCGAGAAGGCATAAAACAATAATAGCTAGTTAAAGAGCTTTTCAAGCGAAATTTCTTTAAAGAAAGTTTTAAACGCAATGTTTTTTAATTGACAGTCGAAACTATTTTATTGACATTCCAAAACACCAGCTTTAGAAAATTCGAAGGCGAGAGAGCATTAGCATTTAAATGGGAAAAATGTCGAATATCATTACAAAATCACAATTCAGTACTTTTTAATTCGGATCGATGCTATGTTTTAATAGGTTTAAACGCCATTTTGGAGACGAAAGAATTGAATGTTTAATAAAATCGTTTACATTGAAAGAGTTGGTAACTTTTTTTCCCCAAGTATTGGAGACGCTGGTGGAATATTTCCCATAATTGTTTTCCGTACTTAAATTACGCTGTTTGAGAAGAATAACTTAATAAAGTTTTAAAAAGAGATGTCGCACTTAAGATTACGTTCGAGATCGGTGGCAAATTGAAAAATCATAAAACTTGTTTTCTCCTTTGTACAGGCTTATTAATTTTATTTACGAGTCTAGATTGCCTTTAAGTGTTAGGCAATCACTTATTTGTAGATTTTAGTTTTTCTAAATATTTTTACTCATATGTATTTGTCTAACAA